TGTTTGAAAAAGTAAACATTTTATTATACTATGTAATGTGAGGAAATTAATATCATCTTTTTGTTTATGAATATGAATAAAGCCGGTGAGTACAGTGAAACTGCATAGACTCTCCATGTTTGTGAAAAAATATACATGGTAAAATGACATATAATTGGTTTACTCTAAGTAAATTGTATGAAATATGTGTTTATCGTAACCTGCTGGTATGACTAATCTGGAATTAATTTTGTCAAACACCATTTTTCTTCCAATCAACATATAATTCCGTTCTGTCTCTTTTTCGTATACAAATATTTCTGAGAGTACCGTCATGTCAGTGTTCACCTGTAAAATCCTGAAGTCCTCACCCTGCTTTCCAAATAAAAATACACTGTCCTCAGTAGCAGCACATAAATACCTAAGTTCAAATCCTTTCTTTCTTAAATATTTCAGTTGCTTAAGTCTGGAGTCCTCACATATGATACAATTATCGTTATCGGCATAATCAGAATGCAAAGTACTGATATACTTTTGTAATGAACATGGTAAAATATTCTCGGCAGCAATTCCAATGAGTTCTACTCTTCTCTTTATATTTAGATTTGTATCTAGAATTATTAATGATTCCCCATAAGTAAAGCAGTAAATCTTATTCTTGAAGAAGGAAATATTTGTGCACCCAATATCTTTAGATTTGATGAATTGAAGATTTCCGCTTGTAATTCTGTACAATCTTATTTCGCTATCCACAGAAATCACCACATTTCCAGTATCAGTGCAACAGATATGTTTTGTAGTATCCCAGTCTTCTGTTATATCAATATTGTAGTAACACTGGTATTCAAAGTCTGAACTGATATGAATGACGACAGTTTTAAATATCTGAGATGTATAGATGGAATCATCTTCATCATCATCAACTGATGATACTCGTATTATGGCTAAATAGAGAAACGACCGATCTGGATGTTGACACCATTTTGACGTCCCGTAAAGTGTCACATTTTCAGGAGTTTCAATTATATGCCTTTGGATCTTCTTTACTCTGTTATAGGATGATGTGTTCGGACTGAAATATAATAGTAATACAAGTACATGTATAAAACAGTATTATTGACAAATGTTGTCATATGTTGTCATTATTTTATTACTAATGCAAAACATGTTAATCTCCTGGAATTACATCATCACGAAAGTGCTTATTTACTAAAATAAAATATTAATGTGTATGTTTTTAGACCCTTCAGAAAAGATGATACAGGTATGTGTGTGTGTAGGTATACTTGAATAATTATAATTAAGGGCAAAGATTTCCAGTGGTACGTTTAATTATCTGTACTTCAGTTGAAACAGCATTATTACACCCTAATAGAACTAGGCAAAGATTAAATTAACCTATTTAAGACCGAGGGCCTTCGCATTAAAGTCACAACACTTCACTTAGCCTACAAACATTTGAAGAGTAATAATCCGTGACTATCTTTCTTGGAAGCGCATAACGATGCGCACAAAAAACTACCGAAAACGTCTTTAAGGTATGAGCCCCCTAATGATAATAAACCTTAATATTCATCACGCTCATTGTCATCGAAATTGATTTGACTACTTAAATCTTCATCGAAACCGTGAATACAATCGCTTCCGTAATCATCATTCCTGTCATTATTATCATCATTAAAATCTTATCATTATCACATTCATCATCACAATCAGCATTATTTAAAAAAAAATCAACCGCATCATAATCATAATCATTACAATCATCATCAGCATGATTCATTATTTCTTCTATTAATTACACCAAGATCATAATTATCATGTCTTTCATCGTCAAAATCATGAATTCCATTTTAAATTTATGATTATCATCACATTTAGCTTTATTATGGATATGTTTTATTATCGTATCAAAATCAGCTTGGTTTGATCAATGTCAAAACAGCATCATCATTATTTTATGGTAAATGATATGAAGTCTGATGTCTTTTTTCCATTGTATTTCAATATAAAGAGCAGGATGGATATTGTTGCTTCATTCATCTCTTGGATATTTTTATATTTTTTTGTTTTTTTATACTATAAACACTGATAAACATTTAATAAATTCATGTAACTTGATAAAACTGTATACCTCTAGATGACCAGAAATATTTCAAGAAAATCGAAAATACAGGAAAATGATCCTTTTAACCATTTTGTGGCCATTTTTGGTTATTTATTTGAATCATAATTGTTTGTTGTTTCACTTATCAATATTTTACATTAAATATATCTTCAAAATATTGAAGTAGTATAAACATGAATCTTGGAGGCATAAATGCTTTAATTATAAAATGCCCATAACGAGCCTTCTTTGTGTTTTTACAAGAAAGACATACATTGATTGGAAGTAAAAGGTGCTTGTTATCGCAAATATCAGGGTACATATTGAACTGTAAGGACCGAAAGTTAGAAAAGTGATTTTATCAATTGTGCTGAATTTAATAAATATGATTATAGATACGCTTGTTCGAATCTGTTTTATTTGGAAACCAGCAAGTTCCGAGCAATGAGCTCAAAAAATACAATGACTTGTCCCTGTTGGTATGAACTCACACAGCTACCGGATATATAACCACCAAATTTGCAAGTTCTGCAAATTACATCAAGAAATAATACTTTAAAGCATCTCGAATTCATAATGATGGTGTTGTAATGATGGCACTTATGAGGTGGCCACCGATGATTGTGTTGATGATTTACTTGTGATAATATTGATGGATGATATATAATGATGTTCTATTGAATATGACGATAAAAAGATGCTGTACTGTTATGAAATGATGAAGATGATGATCTAACAATGGTGAAACGATGATAATTTTATGAAGAAGAAGAAAACAAGAAAAACAAGCATATATCGACGAAGAAGAAAAAAAGTGATGATGAAAATGCCGATGACTATGACGATGACAGTAATAATGATGATTTCTGAAAGCTTAATTCGCTGCAATTCTAGTATGGTGTCGACTGTAAAAAGTGCACACTCCTGAGAGCTAGATTCGTTCACAACCATATGCGGTGAAGAGATTTTCTACAAACAAACACCAATATTTTGTGTGTATTTGAGTTTATTTATACGCGCCACCGGTTGCCCATATGTGTGAGTCCTCCAGATAAGTATTAGCCTTCTAGCACCAATATACATAATGACCCTTCATTAATATATGCTACATAAGTAAATAATAACAAATAAAACACAATATTCAGAGAGCTATGACTTTTTCAATTTGGTCAGCTGGAGAAAACAATTTGCTAAAAGCTCGTTTCAGCTTGATTTAGTCAAAAACTATGGAATCTATCAAGCTGACAAGTTCGCAAAATGTAGCGAATAAATGTTAATCTCTAGTGGTTAAAGTGTTTATCACATAGTCGTGCTGCTTGTCCTACTCTGTAAAGTTTGCTTTGGTGGTAAACTTCCTTATTCCAGTTACCTAGATATAACATATAGATTCATCGTGGCAGATTTGTGTGTCATATTAGTTTTCGCCTCGCAGCCCCGCCAAGCGAAAATCCGAGAATGAACTAAATAAAATGGCCAGGGAGCGGAGCGAAAACACGATTATCAACAGGGTGGCGATAAAACATCCCCCGCGGGGGCGCAGAGCGAGATTTTAAGAGATAAAACGTAGGGGATGCGGAGCGAGTACATGCTAATTTGACCTTCATTTACTCAAACACACTGTGAAATGAGAAAAGTTTAAAATGATGCTATACATACAATTTGTATCTTTATTTAATGTCCTATGACAAAAATTAACTTTATATTGCGACTGTTTTCATCGAAGACGACTGCAGATGTTCAAAATAATTGCGGCATACTGTTTTAACGATTTTAACGAAGTAATGATTTTTCAAAACATTACTAAAAAATGAAGAAAAGAATGCCATTAACACCAAACATAACAATTTCTTTTCATGCAAGCTTACGAATGTTATTGTATATTAAACGGAATTATTTATGAATTAATTTATCTGAGAAATAAAGTACAGATTTAATGATTAGGAATCTCAATACAAGTGTTTTAAACATTTAGAAAAAAGCACTTACACGAAAATCGGTGAAATATTTCTTCTTAAGTTTATTAACTTTTAAAAAGTCGGTGTTATATCTGATTATTATACATTTTGGTCCGACGGATGTTCTTGCACCCAATTTTGCAATTCCTCAACACTTTATTTCGGACTTATCGAATACAAAAGGTCATAGTTCTTGGAACAGTTTCATTGTCCTATGTGCATTGTTTAATAGAGATCCCATGTATTGCAATGAACGTACTTTTCAGAACATTACATATTCAACTCGCTATAATTAAGAAGATTATGTGTACTCAGTTTTAAACCTGATCCTTTATATATGTCCTTTCTTTTTGCTTCTGTCATTATTTATACAAACAGCTAACATTTGAAAGTCATCTTAAGCTTCAAAACCCTATTTAAGTTAAATATAGAAATCTAAGTAAAAGTATATGCATATTCTTAAATCTCTTGTATGTTTATGGCTTTTTTGTTGTTTCGGTGTAAAAATAAAAATATATTTTACCTGGGACAAAAAATAACCTTATTTGCCCCAGATTGATAATAAAAATAGGTCATCATTATAAAAATTCTGCTTGTTACAAAAATATCAATTAGCCTAAAACAAACATAGACCATTAAATATCACCTGGAATAGAACAAACCGAACAAAAGAGGAGTTACCTTATTCCAGCATACACTTCAGAATTACAATCTGAAATAATATATAAGATCGTAATTTCTGCCTTTATGCAAACAAGAGTAAAATCAATTTGAATACATTTATATGTAGATATCTAAATCCAGCAAACGTTAATATTACCAAATTTAAGAATCAATATTGAAACAAATATTCGGAAAGTTTAAAACAATGATTCAATAATTACTACTAAATAGTATAACATTTCATACGAACCTGTCGATGACTCTTTCTTGGATTTTTAACAGAACAACCTTTTCGGTAATTCAATGACAGTTTCCAGCATTTGATGCTTCGAATCGTGAACGCATGAACTCAACCGGTCTGGTAAGACATGTGATGATCACATTTAATTTGCCATCTTTGACTGCCGAGTAGAGCATATCCAATTTCCGCAACCACTTTTGAATGATGGACATTTCGAACATGTACTTTCCCCCAAGATCTTCGATGATCACAACACAGGTAACACCAAATCTGACACAACTGAGATCATCCGGTTCTGTAAGTATGAGGTAGTGACCATCTTGATATGACGACAGTAAGGAGAGAGCAAGCGTCGTTTTCCCACTGCAACGTGGACCGGAAATGACGATTACCTTCTTAGAGCGGAATTCTTCCAACGCGTTTTCTCGGATGCTGTCGTCTGCCATCCTTGCTCTATGATGTTTATTGTAAGCAATTGATTGAACTGCAAGATGGAAAATGAGAATTATTATTTGATTATAAAACTACTACCGGAGTTTTTAACAACTTCTGACTTTACTTGTTCAAACATTATTAGAAGTATCTAGAATATATATTAAATTTTGTGTATTTACATGTAAAAAATGATGCTTTATCGAATAATTTGTTAGATAAAACTTGCCCCTTTTTATGTTATTAAAAACTGAATTATGCATACCAAGTAAGTTTTTATAGTGTGGATCTGCTTCAACCTTTGACATATTGCTCTCACCTGAAAAATGAAATATAAAAGATCGTATCATATATTGTATTCTTAATCCCACATCGAAGGCTTATTTTTAAAGTTTAGGATAAGGACCATGTATTCTAAAGGAGTATGTTGTGGATCCAGATCTTGATGTTTTTAAAAAACGAAATGACACACATAACAAATAGCTGACTTACTACAAATAAGTAAAATATTTTTGTCATAAGTAAGTAGTCAGATACAGATGCCCTTAAAACATGTTTTGTATTTGTAATCAATAAAATGAATTAGCGTTACTAAATACGTGTACCTTCAATAAGGTCCACAGGTGAGTCTTCAGTGGTTGGTTTGTAGACAACGATTGGTTGATCCATCATATCATGATTAAAATAACTTTTCCATTCTTCTAAAATTGATTTGTCCATTATTATAACAACATCTAGCACATCATCATTGTCGCTAAAGGAAGTTGTTTCAACAATACTATCCACAATTGAATGAAAGTCTTTTGCTTTCTGTAAATCAAATGTACTCTTGCCAAATGGGTGAAGGAACACAACTAACTTGGCATCTTCCTTACCGATATGACGCCAGTCTGTGGACTTGAACATAGGATGCAATCGTCCTCTTCATATCCCTTGCTATTTATAGCATAAAGTGCCGCTTGTAGATACAGACCTTTGCCGTATCCTGACACGACCACTAGGTGATTATCGTCGATTTCTGCAATGATTTTTTGCACTTTCTGGCGGAGGTGAAAAGTCGCTGTCAAGTTTGTTGGTTAGTAAAGACGCAAAGTCTTTCTATTTGAAAACATAATGTCAATTATACAAGAAAATGTTAATGCATAATGTATCGATAATAATCATATAAACACTGTTTTATTGGTGGAAACCTTAGGGTATAAAATTCTTCAATAACAAGTATAAACATTTACTGTCAGATATTGCCTTCAAAACGTATATTGGTGTTTTAAACGACCACCAAATTATAATGCATTAACTTTTTGAAAAAACTTTGAAATTCATAAGAAGGCTTACCTCTCATATTTTCAAGTATATGATCAACAGTTTTGAATGCGTTTCGACATTTTACCTCCGGCTCGTGTTCGCTTGACAGTGGTTTTCTTTTTAAAGTTTTCATGGTTTGGCCTGTATCTTGTTTTATTTCATCTATCTGATCCTTAAGGTGTTCTACATCTTTGCTTCCAATTTTACGATTTTGCTCATGTACCATGACCTTAGCACTTCTCCTAGATCTGTTAATATAGAACTTTCTACCTCTTTAATATCTTGTTCAATCTTGTCTGCATAAGATTGACCTTTAACAGATAATGCCTAAGTTTACAATGTTCACACATAAGTTTTTTGTATTTTATTCTTAAAAATCTTGTTCAGTTATTTTACACGTCCCTGCGATATGTTGGAGATCATTTCTGATTGTCCTGATATTTTCGATACACACAAGATCATTTTGGGCTAAGTTAAAAATGTTTTTCAACAGAGCAGTTAATATAATGTCACATCCCACGCGGTGATATCTGTTTGGACCTTGACCTGCAGGTGGGAACAACAAATAAAATTGATCCTTTCGTAGAACACATTTTGGCTTTTTGGGTAAGTTTATTGATATCCTTTCTCCTGAACGCCTAAATAAGCATCTAATGTAGTGTATGGTGTTTGGAGATTAGGGTCTGCGGCTGCCTGTTTCAGAAATAACTCCCGCAGAGGATCAGGACATATATTAACCAAAATGGTCACTAGTCGATAATATTTGTCCGTCATTTCGTCCTGAAACATAAGAAATACTAATCAACCAAGGAAGAATTTGAGAAAGTAGTTTTAATTTCATGCTTTAGTGCTTTAAAAGTTAGACAATGCTTTAAAAATGAACATATAAAAATATAACAGAGACAGAACAATACTAAAAACACTAAAAAAGCATTTACTGGTTGTTTTCAAAATAAAAAAAAAAAAAAAAAAAAAAAAAAAAAAAAAAAAAAAAAAAAAAAAAAAAAAAAAACATCCATAGTTATCTTTTATTGAATACAGGTAAAAGAAAAAACTTTTTTTTATTGTTCACCTAAAATATAAAAAGCTGTTATAGGCATTTTGGAAGGATATTTAAGATAACACGATTAATCACCGGATAATGTAAACAAAACAAAATGATCATGTTAAAATATTTTGAGAATATGATAAAACGCTCCTTTATGTGTTATTTTTATAACTATGAAGATGAATGCATTTTGAGGTTAGGTAATATTATTCAATTATTGATTAATGATCCATTGAATATGATGTGATATTAACCGGCATATTGACCGAGGCGATATACGATGTCAATATGATTTTCTGCTGGTGAAGATCATATCATAAAGTCAATAATTGTTTTATGTATAGGTAAAGATTGAAAACGCGCACAAAAGTAAAGCCTTATAAGGAAACAAGCTTCCGCCGTTAAATAAATAATTAGATCATATTTAGATCATATAAAATGTTATGTGTTAGAGTATTGTCACAGCATTTTCAGTTTGAATATTTTTTATCTTTAGATGTTTTATGGGGGTTGATAAGAGATATTTACCAATGATGAAAACTTATTTTGGCAAGCTTAATATGTCTTTATTTTGCCATAAGAGCATTGATTATGACCTTACTACTTCTCTCATGTCAATCCTGTACCTCTTTCATATTTAACAGCTAGATAGTGGATATTGTGTCTACTACTAATAATAATAAATCAATCAACAGGTTTTGTATCATCCTTTCCAAAGCATAATTAACTCAGATTACAAAGAAAGAATATATCTGATTTTTCAAAATGTAAATATTTAGAATATTGCAGTTTCTATTGTTATAAATTAAGTGCATTTAATGTCATTTTATTTTATCTTAATATTTAAATATTTTCTTAAAGTGATACACTGTTACTTCATTACCATCTATTAAAACCTTGGTAATTAAAAATTAAAATCAATTTTTATGTGCTGTTACATGAGTGACAGTAATGTAACACGAAAGACACTTCTGTTACAGCAGTGTCAAAAAGTAAGCATGCTTGGTACTTCCTTATGTTATCACACTTTTATTGAATTCCATTTTATTTCATCTTAAGATTAATCGTTATCTGAACGCTATTATGTGTTCTCGCAAGGACCTACTTTAAAGATATACAATCCTCAAATTTGATATGAGAGAATATTTATGATTGCTACACAGTAACTATGTAAATATAACATGAACATGTTGCTATTCACACCAAGTAGGCATGCTATGTTTTTAACACTGCACACACTAATGGTGGTCACAATATGAATATATAATGTAATTAAAAAGATGGCAGTTCTTTTAAGAAAAGACCAACTTTACTTGACCTGTAATAGGAAACGCAGCTTCCCATATATAGCTTACTCATTCTGTTATTCAAATTAGACCTTTTCAGTAAGAATTTTCTGTAATAAAATTATTTTGCTTAAGGATAAGCATAGTATATCATAGTATAAAAATGTCTTTCACATCTTGTTACATGAGTGACGTTTAAGTTACAGGAAATACATCTCTGTTATAGAAGTGTCAAAATAGGCATGCACGGTTCTTCTGTGTTTCATCAAACTGATATTGAATTAATCAATATAAGAATATTATAAACGTTAGACATTTTTCTTATGTCAAAAACAAATAATATTGTCACAGTTATTCTCACATTTGTTTTATATTATTAAGCTTTATTTAGATGCTAATAATTGATTAAATGCATGGTTAAATAAGATTGCTGAAAAACGTTTATGGGGAAAAGACATTCATGAATGTTGAAATTAAGACCTGCTCATTGGACATTTTGGGGAAGATTTTTAAAATTTTTACTACATACATATTAGGAAAACATAACCCTGGGCGGGACCAATTTTGACTTGAGGGCTTTATTTGAATAAGTTTGGTAGAGGTCCACTAGAAAATACCCCTTGCAAAACATCTAAGTCATAGGCCTGTGGTTCTTGTATGTCCACTATACAAAGACGGTGATTTTAGATATAACATTGACATAATTTAAACCACAAAATAACACAACAGACACTGTTAAGGTCAAGAATCTTTATCTTATATATTCACACTGGTCATAGCCTTTGCAGAATTGGTAAAACCTCGTCCAGTATAGGTTTGGACAATCGGGAAATATGTAATTAACAATTAAGTACAAAAAGCCTATGATTTACAAAAAAGCTTATGATTTGCTGGCCAATGGTCACTTAATTAAGTAAGGAAACGGTCGTAATTAAGTAAAGGTTGGGTAGAAATAGGATGTGTTAAGTTAAACGCTCTAAACATCTATAATCTATAAGCATGCAACGTTTTACCATGCAAAACAGTTTTCATTCTGCAATTATGATATGCAAACCATTTTGAAGGTATACGCGTACTTATTATAAATGACAGATATATTTGTTGTCTATAAAACTAAATCACTAACATTTCAGAGTTTTCGAGATGGCATTGATGGAAAACATTTCATTTTGAAAAATATACTTTTTTCATTCACAACATTCAAACATTTCTTTGTGTGAAAACTATATCTTTTTCATTCACCTGCTTAGTCAAGGATATTGTATTCTTGATTTTTGTAAAAACGATGCCTTACATATGTGTTTCTATCAACTATAATATCAGCTGCATACACAAATAAATGACTGCTTGTTTGAAAATATGTAAAAACTACTTTAATTAGCATATTCTGAAGTATTGTCATTGCCTTATTTTGCACCGAAAATAGATAAAATGATCATAAACGTACTTTTCTTATTAACTATTCAACATTCTCCTTTTTGTTTTAAGAGAATAAAGTAAGTTATCATGAATATTTTGAAATCGCTGTGATAAAGGTCTTATAATAGTAACATGTGGGTTTTACCAAATCCCAATTTAGAACATACAATTGTACGTTCTATGGTTTCCCGGAGCTATTTTGTATATTTTATATTTTCCCCTGCTAACATTTTTTATGAAAATAAGTATCAGGATAAATCATAAAAAGTAAAATCGTAAAACATTGAAAAAAACATTTATTGTTTAGTAACAAAAGCAAGGAATAAGCAGCTTAACAAGAATGATTAAAAATTAAGTACGCGTATTAGTGAATTATTTATTTATAAACGTTTTTTCCACAATCGAATTGTTCATGTCACAATCTTAATCCACAATCCAGATTTGTTTCTGTTCAGAATCTATACATCCAGCTTACATAAGACTGATATTTTTTCTTACATGTTAGTTTGTTCTCAAAGCATTGTTTATGAAAGGTTCGAGCTTCCAGATCTAACCTGTACAATGTCGACTTACAGTGTAAATGTTTTACTACTGAACAAAAAAATGTATGTAAACCGGTTAAAAGCTCATAAGAAGAAGAAAAAAACTTTCTTTCATCACAAGCAATTTGTTTTGTAGGAATACATTGAAAATATCATTTTTTTTCAAGTTTGTGTATAAGGCAAACCCATAATTCTTAAGGACAAAGCAAAATTTCGCGCAAGAGCTACAGTTTGACCATGTTTTTCAGTTTTCATGCTATAACTTTTAAGATCTGACCCTTGAACTTTTCAGAAGACAAGAATAAAGAATTTTAAAGTAACAGCTATATGTTTACAAAGAAAACTCATGACCCCATGTCGGGCAACTTGGACCCCAGGCCTATAGCTTGAACAATTTTGTATTGGTCATCTAGATAATGTTTCATGCTTAATATCTCTTGCATTGGAAATATTGAGGAAGATTTTAATTTTTTTTACTAAAGACATATTAGGAAATCATAGCCCGGGGCCAACTTTGATTTCTGGGCTATAATTTGAAAACGTTTGGTAGAGGTCCACCAGAAAATACCTCATGCAAAACATCTAAGTTCCAGACCTATGGTTCTTTAGCAAATATATTTAACGTTCTTGTTATTTTAACTTTTGATTGCCTTCGCATTTAGATTCATGCATGAAATAAATAATCAACTTTGGAAGCTTTTACCCAAGGAACAATCCTTGCAAATTTGAAATTGGACGAATGGTTTCATCAAGAAGATCTTTAATGTTCACTTTACAAGGAGGTGGTTTTCAATATAACATTGGCATAATTTAAGCTTTAAAATAACACAATTGGCACTGTTGAGGTCAAGTATCTTTATCATATATATTTCACACTGGTCATAGGCTTTGCAGATGTGTTAAAACCTCGTCCAGTATAGGTTGTGCAGCG